ACAAGTCAGTTTAGAACGAAGCAGTCAGGCTAAAGTCACAAGGGAGCGGTTCTGCGTTCCCCAAATACGTAGGGACAAGTGGGCAGACTGTCACACCCGCCGTCGCCTTTCTATTTCTGACAGTCAGTCCGCCCCGGGGAAGAGCGTTACGGATTTGCTCCTCTTCTGGCTCACTGAGCTCCAGTCGACATTAGAGGTGTTTATTGCGTAGTGAGAAAGGAGCCCGGGAGTGCCATCATCGAGTGTTTCTAATTGGGAAGATGAGGCAGCCCTGAGGCGCCCGAGCAAAAGCCAGCCTTGCTTTCTATGTCGCGCGCCACGTGTAAACGCACCCGTCTTAACACCACGGGTAGGGTGGGTTTTCAAATACAGGACCTTCCGAGTTACTCCCTCTGGGTTTGCAAAGGGAGAAAGCAACAGAAGCAAGTACCGCCCACTCGGCACAGCGTGGGGCGATCACACCACTGTTCTCAGACCTGAGCAGATGTCCGGAGCCCACGGCCCCTGTGGCTCCGTCATTCTACCACGAGGGGTGATGCGATCAGAGCGTCAGTCCCTGCACCACAGGGGGCTGCCCTGTGCCTTCCGCCGTGTCCATCTCCGGCTGCCGCCACTGCTCAGAGCCTGATAGCCTGTTAGCAGGTGCAGCCCTGCCCCACACCGCACAGTATGCTTGCTCCAATCCCCGAACGAGCTTGTGAGGAAATGGCTGGGCCACACAGCCACGTCGGAGGTGTGATGGGACGGGCTCGGGGGCAGGCGGTGTGGGCGGAGCGGCCCCTCCCTTGGAGGAGTCTGACCCAGGAGCGCGCAGTCTCAGGAAGGCCCTCACGCACAGGACAGGAAATGCACATGGATGACGGAAGGCGGGGGCTGGTCTTTCCCCTGGACTTGGTTTTCTGAGGGCACGTAGAGAACGCTGGGGCCGGAGGTGCCTGGAGAAGCCAGCGTTGCCCAGCCTCCCAGGTCGACTTGGGGAAGAGAAGGTGGACAGAGTCTCGAGGCCAGGCTGCGGGCATCTGGCTTGACTTTGGGGTTACCGATGGGCCCCTCCAAGTATAGGATGGGCGAGAGACCACTCTGCAAGCCAGGCGGCATCCTCCGCTATCATGAGCCCCCATCACAGGGCCGCGTCCCCGGGCTTCTGCCCCTGGTCATAACGTCACCGGGGCAAGCCCACTACTCTGTTCAAATTCAAGCCCTTGCAGCCACCAACGGACTGCCCAGCAGAGAGAAAACCTCAGACAGAAAAGACGGCAATGTCACGGCATTCCCATCGGCAGGCTGACAGCCAGTCCCGCATTCACTACCCTCTGCCCAGCGCTGATGATGTGAGGAGCGCGTGGCTGGGCAGCAATGGACTCCAGCACCACGACAGACCGCATCAGCCATGAACACTTCCTGAGCCCTCACTCGGATGCTGGAGGAGAACCAAAAGGAAATACCTTCCCAAAAGAGAGGTGTTTTCCTTACACAGGTTTTGATTTTGATTTTTTACACTAAAGGGACTTTATGCATGTTTCTGGAGAATCTTCCAGACACGGTGATTCTGGAGCAGACCGTTGGGTGTGCACGCCAGGGGGCATGCTGGGAAGTGGGTCACATCCATGTGGTGGTGCTGGAGAAGGTCTGGGCCTAACCAGGGTCTTTGGGGCCCATGGAAGCTACAGCAGCTCCTAAAACAAGGGAAACAAAATAACGAAACTAGAAAACACGGCTGACTCTACAGTTTGGAAGAATGAGTTTATTTTAGGATCCGGACAATGTGTTGAACATCCACGGGAGCTCATGGGGAAGAGTGGCAAAGTTGCACGTGGCTGAGTCCGCCTGTCTACGTGACTGTCATCTGGCGAGTCCAAGCAGTGCAGGAGGTCAGCTGGGGTCACTTAGAGCCAACAACACGCGTCAGATGTTTGCATTGATGGCTGGAGAAGGGCCACCTCACTGAGTACTCCGGGCTTAACTGTGTATGTATTTATAGCCTTCCGTGTCCTAAAAATGGCTTAAGATGACTTCCAATAATAGATACAATTTAACATGATAAATAACATAAAAATGAGCAGAGAAGAAATCAGAGGGAAGAAGGAAAGACACGCTGGTCCAGCGACCAAAGGCATATGGACAGCCTCCCATCACCGTGCACAGGGCAGGCCTGACCGGCAGAGCGCACGTTCTCCCCACGTTCTCCCCGTCTGACCTGGCTCGTCCCTCTGTAACACAGTCCAACCCCCCACCCCCACCCCCGGCGACAGAGGAGAGCAGTCCGGAGAGAGGATGTCTCAGGGAGGGGCATGGTGTGGTCCACTCGGGCGGGCAACCACTCTCGGGAGCACTGTTGGCCACCAGTACCTCGTTTGGAAACCCAGCTCGGTCCTCCCTGCTTATGCCTCTCTCCCCAACCCCCTGCCCATCTCCCCTGGTGACGCCAACTGGAGACCCTCCCTCACGCCCCTCTGGGGCTATGCGGCACGTTTTGCATGCCCGCCCCATGGGTGTCAGATTTCCCACACCCACCACTGAGGTGGGCATTATCCTTGCACCCTGTTCACAGGTGTGCAAGCTGGGGCCAAGCTTACACAGGTGGAAAATGGCAGAGCGGGGGCCCCACACACAGGACGTCCCTCCACTCGGTGGGCAGCCCCTAAGCTGCTCTGCTGCAAGTGTTAGGGGTGCAAGGTGATTAACTGCCATCACCCCATGAAGTATATAGTCGCCGGCAGCTTCCCGGGCGGTTGTGAGTTATCCACTAGTAAGCGATCGGTAATCCACAGGTGGCTCTATGGAAAGCCTGACAATCAACCTAAACTCAGACCCAAGAACAGCATGACACTAAACTGACCTCCACGAAAGGACACGTGGTTAGCCTCCAAAAGACACTTACATCTACAGCTTGAAACCATCTAACAGATGAGTAGGGGCTGGTTACCTGCTTACAGAAATATACATATATTTTTATGAACGGTACGGCGGGGGAGCCTTTGGAAACACATTTTCACAGAGCCTGTTTACTACAAATTAATCACATTGAATATACCCACATCCCATTTCCCGGCAACCTTTAGTGTAAAGAGTAAGGGCAGTGCGGGCTTGGTTAGCTCTGGGAGACCACAGCGGCCTCAGCAGCTCCACCATGCGCCCCCCTACAGTGCTGGGATTTCTTCTCCTCGAGCCAAAGCCTTCTTTCTGACCTTGGTGTGTCAAACTGTTTCCTACGAGTGGACTCCAGCTATTACCTAAAATAAGGACCGTGTCACGGGATAGAAACAAGGCAAGAAGCAGAAAGCATCGCGGAGACAAGCACAGACAGTTTTCAAAAAGCCTAACAAAGCCAGAACTCAACACCAAGTTTCCTGTGTCCGAGAACGGCGCTCCCCCACAGCCCATTATGCTGCCCACCTTTGCTGGAGCCTGAATGGAACGGGATGGACACCTAGACCTCCTAATCCACCAGTATCTGTCCCACGGCTTCCTTCTACAATGTTTTCGCTACTTCTGCCCCCAAGAGCGCTGGGACCCTCATCAAGGGAGCACCAGGATTGTTCACGCCCCCTGCCCACCACTGCTCCCCAGGCATGTGCCCCTCCCACGCCCCTCTGTCATTTGCGTATACATCTGTTTCCCCAGGAGCAGGGGCCCAGCAAAGCAGGACAGCCCACGCGGGCCAGCACGTGCACAGGTGGCACTAAACGTTCGATTGATACATCAGGAGAATTTAAATGAAATGAAACCATCTCCGAGCTATTAAGGTAATTCAGCAGAAATGGCTGACAATTCTCTTTAATGAAACCACCAGCACACACAAGAAGGTAACAGTCATGCAGTCCCCGTATCCCCAGACATGGGGCCCAGCGCTCTGCCCACCGACGCCGCCCTACACCTGCCACCTCATGCCTAGAACAAACAACTGGCTGCATAAACCTTCCCACTTCCCTTTGGAATGCTCTCTGTTCAGAATACCATTCCTTTGCCTTGGCAACTTCCATAAACCATTTTGTACAAATCGGTGGAGATGGATTCTTCCCTTAGCATGGATTATAACGTTGGTGCATTCCCACCATGTGTGCCTGGGGTCGCTTCAGAGAGAAGAGAAACATCGCTTCTTCTGAACACAGATTTCTTCAGTGAGGAAGACGTAGCACTGCAGTGTTTACCACAATTAAAGTGTGTACATTATTTAGCAGCTCATTACCACAAATAATTGCTTTCTAAAGTTCGATCATTAGACTTTGGCTTGCTAACCCAAAGATATACAATAGACCGATATGAATGCCACAAGTACAAGGCATTTTCTGAGGTCACTATTTAGACCAAATAATTCCACAAATGCGAAAGCAAGCGAAGCTCATGGCCCGCAGAAATGAGCTATTTCACGAACCCCTCCTGGCTTTCCAGTTCTCCTCTTCCAGGTGACCTGAAATGGGAGTTTTTCTAAAGGTTTAAGCCCTACAAGGCCATGATTTTATTAAAAACTATGCTTAACTACAGAACTGGCCCTCGAGGAGTTTAGAATCTGGTTGATGGTGGAGGATCTATACACACCTGCTCAACATCACTGACCCCTTAAACAACTGGTTGCTTCCTAAATTACTAGGGCCGTAAATATCTCCGCCTGCAATCCATGCATTTTATTCTCTGTGCATGTCTCTCCTGACACCTTCATTTTCTCTTTAGAAAGAAATCGCACAGTTCAGTGCATTTTGAAATACCAATCTGGTATTACAGTTTCGTGTATAAAGGAACAATCAGCACTACACTTGTCTGCAGCTTCATTATAAAGAGAACTTGGAAGCGGGAGTGTCCCCAAGGTTCTTATGTCAGGGATGCGCATCACGGACATGGACGAACATGTGGAAACCCTGAATGCACCAGGTTCTGACTCCCTGTCACCGTCACCAGTGCTCAAGGGGCAGACTTTCCTTCTGGAAATCTCTAGGCTGCTAACTCTGCGATCATTCCTTTCCGAAGTAAAATCACAGGAGTCCATGTTCAAGAGGGCTTACCTGGTAATCTGTGTTCTTGTGCTGAAGTCAAGAGACCTCATTGAGCGGAGAACTTCAATGCACCCCAAGTACTGCAAGGGGAAAAAAACGTAAATCATGAGCACTGGGAACAGAGATGAAGAGACAATTCCTAACTGCATCAAGGGTGTTCCTGGAAGCCATACACGTTTCTTAAATCACATTTTAACTTTATGTACATTGTGAGGCTTTGTTCTCTTTCTTTAAAAGCAATAACTCACACCCATGAGAAAGTATCCTCAGTGCCTACGTGGCACCAGACTTGACTCTTCCAAGATCCACGAGTATTTGCCTTACATTCAGAAGTACATTTTTAAAAACTTTTGTTGAGGTATAACATGTACCATAAAGTGCAGAAATCTGAAGTGCATAATTCAATTATTGCTTAAACACGTACCTGCGTGTAATCACCCCAACACCCCAACATCGTATTTCTAGTCCTTTACAAGGGTCTAGAGGTTTATAATTTCTAAAGAAAGAATGAAAACACTCTAACACCAACATTTTGACCAAATATTCATTATTTAACCAATATATTTGGGTTCAACAAACTGTATATCCATTACCCTCATAGTTGCTTTATTTTGGTTTACCAGAAAACCCTCTTCAGCATTATGTAATGCAAACTTTCAGAAGTTTCCATTTACACATCTAAATTTGTAGCTAAATCTTTAACCCATTTCACACATCTAAGTGTGTGTGCCTATGTAAATACACGGACATAACAAGAGCTGTAGATAAACAACTAGAACAGTAGAGAAACAATATTTGTGTGCCAAAGCCCTTGGAAGTTTAAAGGACAGATGTTTTATACCAATGCCTTTAAATTTAGACTTTGCAGGAAGAGGCCTCATGGTGTAGTACAGAAAAGACTGCATTTGAATTATTCAGAAAACCTGAATTGGAGCCTGACTCTGTAGTATCTTGTTATGTAACTTTAAGGAAAACTTTACCATTCTCTGAACCGAAGCCTCTATACCCACACACCGTGACTATTGCTCCAACCCTCGTGCAGCTATGTGACACCACCACCACGGCCATGTGGATATGATGAACGACACGCAGGGATACACAAATCAGATGACCACAGACACTGCGGAGTCTCGTGATTACAGTGACCAACATCACGGATTTCTGTGTCTACCAGGACGGACATCGCAGGACTATACGACTCCTAGCACCACCAACAACAACACATGGTTACACAAATACTGCACCCACCATCACAGAGTTCCGTGAATGATCCCACTGATCATCCACAATGATGCCACAAGTCCTGTGAGAAGTAGGAACAATGGTGCGGGGGGTGGGGGTGCCACTGCTATCACGGTTGTGTGGACGCCATCACCACCACGGCAGGGGCATATGAATACCACTACCACTGTCACTCGGCTATGTGGAGACCACAACCAACTTCGCAGAGTGATGGGATCGCCACATCCATCATTGCCACGGCATGGGGACATCACAACAATATCCCAGAACTATGTGAATACCGCCACCAGCAGTGTTACAAAGTGAAGTAATTAGTATGACCAAAGTGGCAGAATGGTGTCGACAACAACACCACTACTCCTCAAAGTTCTGTGAACACATCACCCCCACCACGCAGTTATGCAATTTCACATCCATAGCTTATGGGAATACCCCATGACCATCATTGCAGATGTGTGACTATAACAAGAACCACTGCAGATATCTGAATATTATGCCGCCCATCAGAGAGCTGTTGAATACCACAACCAGAGTTGTGGTTATGTGAACACAACCATTCTCCATCACAGAGAAATGGGAATACTGTGAACACCATCATAGCTATGTGACTACCACCAGCAACACTGCAGTGATATTGAAGTGATCAAAGTTATCACAGAATTATATGAATGCCACATCCAGTCTCACAGTTGTGTGCTACCACGACTAAAGTTGCAGAGCTATGTGAATACCAAATCCACCAACACTGCAGAATTACATGAATACCATGATGATCATCACAGAGTTTTATGGATAACACTCCTGGCTACACATCAATATATGTATCCCCACACCACAGCTGTAGTTATGGAAATATAGCACCACCACCACTCTAGAGTTATGCCAACAAATACCCAAAACCACAAGCACCACTGCAGTTATTTGAACACACCACCAAGAGCATCTCAGATTCATGGGAAGATGATCAAAGCAATTGAAGAGGTCTGTGTGTACTGTCACCAACATCGGAGTTATGTGACTACAACCAACAGCCTCACAGTTATGTGGATACCATGACCACCAACAGGGGGTTATGTGAAGGCCACACCAGCCCTGAAAAATTGTGTGAACACCATGACCACCATTTCTGAGTTCTGTGAAGACCATGAATGACTTTGCAGAGGTATTGGATTAGCACATCCAACACCATCTCAGAGCTATGTGAAGATCACCACTATGGCCATGTGGACTTGTCGGAATGCCACAACCACCATGGCAGAGCTAGGAGAATACCACCACATGGCCATCCCAGAGACACATGAACACCACAACCATCATCACTGCCACCACCACTGTTGCAGAGACTTACGAATACCATGACCACCAACCAGGAGAGTTATGTGACTCTCCTGATGGAAGTCACAGATTTACATGAATACCACCACCTTGCAGGGATGCATTAATGCCAACACCGCCATCGTCACGGAGTTGTGTAGACATCATGACTACGTCACAGGATTGTCTGAATCATACCATCAGCACAGTCACAAGATACATGACTAGCACCATCAGTTTTGCTCAGTCTCGCCAATGCCATGACAGATGCTGATGGGTGGTAGGAACACCATGATGAGCTTCACAGACCATGTGAATGCAACCTCCACCAACATCGCAAGGTCATGGGACTATAAGACCACCATCACGTTGTTATTTGACTACCACCTCCACCATCATCCTGGTGGTATGTGAATACTATGACCAACCTCACAGAGTCACCAGAACAATACCAACAACAACATCATAGAGTCACAGAAATACAACTACCACAGTTGAAGATGATGTGCACAAACACCAGCACCATGACAGGGCTATGTGGGTCCATGACCAACTCATAGAGCTATGTGAATAGATAGCCAATGATGCAGTTATGGGAATACCACCACCAACATAACCACAGTGTTATGTGACTACTATGACCAACAAAATGCGGTTATGGGGACACCATGACCATAGAGTTACATGACTACCATGACCAACAAAATAGGGTTATGGAGACACCACAACCAAAACAGCCATAGAGTTGTGTGATTACCCTGACCAACACCACAGGGTTATGGAGACACCATAACCAACCTGACCATAGAGTTGTGTGACTACCATGACCAACACCGCAGTTATGGAGACACCATGACCAACACCACAGTGACATGTGAATGTCATCACCACCACACAATCGCAGGTATGGAATATCATGACCACCACAGCAGGCTTATGTGACTACCATGACAAATTTCACAGTTATGTGGATACAACCACATGGTAGGAGAATTACATGAACACCACCACCACCAAGGTTGCAGAGTTATGCGGATACTGCCACTGCACTACAGGATTATGTCAACACCATGGCAAATGCGCATACCTCCACCACAACCACAGTCATGTGGAAACCACAATGTCATAGAATTACGTGAACACCACCAACACCATCACAGTTTCATATGTACCACCACCACCAATATGGAATTCTGTGATCTCCATGACCGGCACACTTACGTAACTACCACCACGACCTCTGCAGTAGTGTGTAAACTGACTTCTCAGTTATGTAGATACCGCCACCCCCACCAGCCATGTCATTACCCCCACTGCTGAGAGAGTTGTGTGAATACAGCCACCACCGCCGTCCCAGAGTTACACGAAGACCATGACGAGCTCCAGGGAGTCATATGAATACCACCACCGCCACCCTCGAGTACTAGGTGAGTGCTACTGCTAACATCACAGACTTGAATCAGGCCCCCAAGGTCTGTAGCAATTTGCCCTCTTACCATCAATGTCTAAGCTAATTTCTATCTTTCATAACACTATATAGCACTCATCTCTGAATCTTTGACTATCATGGGTGAAAGTGCTTTATTTTCTTTTTAATTTGCATTTCCCTGATATCTATAAAGATATGTGATTGTTCTCGCATGTGTATTAGCCATTTTCACTCCTTTTTCTGTTAGCTAACTGTTGTTATCTTTGGCCTGGATTCCTATTATATTCCTTATCTTTTTATTGTAGATTAATGGGATGATAATCTCCTATTCAATCATTTTTCTTTTGATGGTTTCTACATTTTACCTGATGCAAGTGCAGGAACATTGTAGTAATTCCTGTAATCACAAGTCTATCATGTTCTGTATGGCTCTGAAGGGTGCTGTGTTGCTCAAGAAGGTCACGATATTCTCCTAAATTGTATTGAACAATATTTAATTACTTACATATGCATTAACTTCTTTACATGTTTTTCTTAATTTATTTATTTATTTGAGGGGAGGCATGCACGGGCACAAGTGGGGGAAGGGGCAGAGGGAGACAGAGAATCCTCAAGCAGACTCCCCACTGAGTGCAGAGCCTGATGTGGGGCTCAATCTCACAACCCTGAGATCCTGACCTGGGCCAAAATCAAGACACTTAACCGACTAAATCACCCAGGTGCCCCACTTCTTTACGTGTTTTGTTTAATGTTCTTCATTTGGCTTTTTAACCTATTTGGAGTTCATCTGCTTGTACAGGACATGGCATGAGTTAACAAAGTCAGCCTCCAGATGGACTTTTATTTAAGTCCGTGCCACGGATCCACGTCTTCCTGCAGTGACACACCAACATCGTGGTATATTAAATTCTATTTTCTGTATGGACCTTTACCTGAGCTCAATCTTATTACACCTCCTGAGTCAATTCCACGTCTCTTATGTGTATTTCCTCTTAAGAACTTTAAAATCATGTTGTGAACTTCCTCCACCCCTCAAAAACCGGATTCTAATGGAGATTTCATCTTACCTTGCGAAGAACTTACATTTGCTATTAA